GGTTTATCCTCATTCACCTTACTCACCAGATTTGACACTGTGCAACTTCTCTGGCTCTTCCAAAGTCAAAAGGACCATGAGCAGTAAACATTTTAATCCATTCAGAACATCAAGTAACCATAACAGTGCAATTAAAGATGCTTACAAAAGAGGACTTCCGTAACTGCTTCACAAAGCAGCAAGAATGATGGGGTATGTTTGAAATAAGGAGGGATATTTTGAGAGGGAGTAATGGCAATGCATTTTATTGTGATATTTAACATTTTTAAAAATATCCACCACATTTTTAACCACTCTAAATTTTTGTTTATCTTATTATCCAAATATCAGGTACTAGTTTGTCTTTTGCTTAGCTTTTTTTTTTTTAAATAAACTTTATTTGTAGTAAGTCTCGATTTATAGAAAAGTTGCAAAGATTGTAGAGAGGATCCCTATGTACCCACTTACTCGTTTTTAGTTTCCTCTCTTCTTATTATCATGCATTACTGCTTGGTTTCTTTTAACCTTCACAAACAAAGGAGTTACTATTTTACTTTAGGAAGAAGCTTAAGTGATGTATGAAAAATAATTTATTCATTTAACAAATACTAGAGTGCATACTATGAATCAGGCATGATTTTAGGGTGGCCATAGGGATGCATTGGTGAGTAAGATGGTATGCCTGCCTTCATGGAGTTGTAATATTTACATAATTTGTCCTTTGTAATTCTACATTGAATTAGTTTTCTTTCTGTTCCTTTAGGAACTCACTATAGGGAAAGCTCTGAAGTGTTTTCTCTTATGAACATGCTGAATATACCCTGTCCCAATCCCAGATGTGCTTCCTCCAAATTATGAGATCTAGTTAACTGCAGATATACCTTTCAACCTGCACTAACTGCTCTGTAATGTTAATATTTGCCATTTACATTTCTGGTCATCCGTGTATTGTATCATATTTACTGCTGTTTATTTTTGTCCTCCAACCATCCTTTGCTGTCTTATACCCTATGGCAGTATGGGCTCTGTAGATAGTATAGATTCTGTGGAGATATAAATTTTCAGCATGGAAAGATCTTTGGGTTAGATTTTCAGTGTGGGAATGTAGCCTGTAATTTCTGTGAACAGCAATGGGAGTCCCATGACTCTCTCACCATACCCCTTGCTGAAAATGCTACTGTTCCTGAGAGTGTCACTGACCTTTGCATCCATTATAGAATTATGTGAGGAGCAGGGAGGGAAGAGTACCTTAAGTAATAGGTTAGCCACAGAAAGACAAAAGAATAATCAGAGCACTTGGAATCTGGAGGAAGCTGATGAAAGAATAGGTTAGTGAGGTTCTTGTAACAGGGATTACTGCTGTCCCTATTTTCAGTGTGGCAAAGCAAACCAGGCCCCTATGGACTTAATACTAAAGAATGAATTATAGACCTGAATAGTAATGTAGTACTGCTAAGGATTTTGTCAGTGAACTTAGTGCTTGTCATTTCTTTTTGAGTGTGTGTGTGGGGTGTGTGTGTGTGTGTGTGTGTGTGTATGTGCTGGGGGGGACCCTAATTTACCCAATAATTTATTTAAAAATAAATTATAGTTTTTAAAGAATAATTTATTCTTCACAAATTTGACTATGAGAAATTGCTGAATGTATTTTTTTCAGGAAGCATATTGGCTCATGAACAAACAAGTTATATCATTAATTTTTGCAGTTAGTTCCATATATCTATTGCTACTAGCCTGGTTCTTTTTCTATCAGTGTTTTAGAACTTTCTCCAAATATGTCCAAAACAGGATTTTTCACTTTTCTCCCTAAATTTTTTCTCTTAGCCTGTTCATTTTCCATATATTAATTTTTATTACCTTGGAGAGATAATCAGATTTAATTTTGTTATTTATATTTTTTCAGAAGTGATATTTTTGGTTTGTTAAAAACTTCTTGTAGCATTTATGATTTACAGTAGTCCTAGTTGTCTTTTGTAAATGTTATACTACTATTAATGCTAAAAAACATAATAATGAGTACTTTTTTTAGACACACATTTTTCTTCCAGACTAATATATAAGCCATAATATAAGGTTCATTTTAGTTTAAAATGTTTTTATTTTCTTGCAGTACTGGGGGTGAAACACAGGCCCTTTGTACTGAGTAGTTACCTGATGGTGGATTCTGGGGGAATTCTTTCCAGGTCCTTGGTGTCCTGAACAAAGAAACACAGAAATGGTAGCAGGGATTTACATTAGACAAGAAACACAAAAAAGGTAGCAGAGATGTAGATTTATTGAAGTTGGGAAGAAATATGTTGTGTAGACTGAAAGCAGGCCAGTGAACAGATTCACAGGGCCATGAGGATAAAGGAAGGGATCTTTTGTATCTGGAATTCCTGGATTTGCTTCTTCTTCATACAAATAAAACTTTGGAATAGGTGTCCTATCAAAAACTCACTTGGCCTAGTGCCAGATGTAAGCTGTCCTTTTGAAGACTTGCTTGGTTTTGTACCAGATGTAAATGAAGAATTGAAAATAGCACTTTTTGGATTGGGTCTGTGGTACAGTGCTCAGCAACTGCAGAGTCATCCTGGATCCTGTGTTCTTTACATGTGCCCCAGGTCTCCATGGCTTTGGTGGATTCCACCCAGTTGTTTGACCAGTTCTCTAAGCCATAATCTCCTACCTCAGAGCTACATACCCACACCTTTTTAGTTTTTGAGACATGGTCTCACTAAGTTGTTAAATTGCCCAGCCTGGGCTGGAATTTGCAATCTTTCTGCCTTGGGATTATCATCCTATGCCACAAAACCCAATCAACTTATTTTTAAAAGTATTTTATATGTCCTCATACTTCCTCATACAAAATATTCCTGAGGAATTTGTGTGCTTTTTATGTTCTTTGTCTTCCAACTGTGCTTTTCTGACATGTATGTCCTTATAGTTGTATTAGTGTTCCATTAGTTTTACAGACTCTCATGGTCTTCTCAAACCTTATTTTCATACTTCTAGCTTTAGTGTTTTCCAAGGTTTTCATGAGATCCTTGAGGGAGCTGGACTTCTAGTTCTTGCAATAATCATGAGCCATCAGTCAGCTTTTCAGTAGGTGACATGGATTGGCATTTCAGTGAATGTAAATTAAATATCTTTTAGTTATGACATAGAAGTAATTTCAATTTCTTGACATTGCAGTAAATACCAAGCTACAACCAGAGACCAAATGGAGATGGAGATATAGGGCACAATACTGTACTATGTGAAAAGTCCAGAGATGGACTACTGTCCTCAGTTTACATGAGGATTTATGTGAGAGATGTATTTGGAGGAGGTCAACATCATCCAAAGACTCTCTTTGACTAGAGAATACTCTTTGTCACTGGCAGTAAATAACCTTGAAATGGCTTGTGCAGCCCAACATGAAATGGAAAATTGATAATTATCTCTAAACCTGGATTGTCATCTGGATCATTTAGGACATCAATTTTTTATTCTCCTACCACTGGGGCATGGCTCTTGTGCAAGTGACATAATTTGCATATCTGTTAAGCTTGACGCTTCTTTCTTTTCTACAAAGGGACAATGTAAGATCTCTCACTAAGATTGCTTACCTTGTCTTGTATATTGAATTTTGTTCTTTAGTATCAGTGCTGCCAAAGCAAGCACTGAATATTGTTCTTTGAGTTTAACTTGACAATTTCTAATAGTTTTGTCTTGTAGAATTCTCAATAGTAAATAAATTCTTTGCTATTTTTCTTATATACCTTTCAAATATTTGATTGGAAAAAGAAGACTGTTCCTGGCTTGCTCATCTGGGTAAAACTCATTTACTGTTTTTCCTTTTAAACTGTTAGCTCAAGTGACCTTACACACAAGTCTCAGCTGTGCATTAGCATTGCTTGGGGATGTGTTTGTATCTTTTGTCTAAAAATACCCAGCCGGTAGGATTCATGATCCATGAAAGCTAATTGAAACAATTTCTCTTCAAGTTTTGGCAAGCGAAGCATGCATTATAAGCATTAATATCTATAAATTGAATTGTTAATGAATCTAGACACTAATAATGCAATTTTGCAGGCTTAACTAGAAACACTAAAATTATCAGGATCTGGAGTAGAATTTTCAATCATTTTTGCTTATTAAATAGCAAAGCTATGCTTTTAATAAGCTAATCATTTTTATTTGACCCCATAGGAATAGCTCAGTTGATTAGAAACAGGTTCCTAAGTACAAAACAATGTTGTTTTTCTCTTACTGTTTTAACTACCGAAGTACTGAAATTTTAAGATAGATATTTGATATCACACTCTGTCTTCTAATCACATTTGTGTATGCATAGTGCTTCCTGAAATATTTACATATACCATTTCTTCTTTATACTGTATATTTCATTTATATATATATGAATACAAACAGTTAAGATTCTGTTATCAAGGTAATAAAAATTAAGCTTTCTGGTTGCCTTTCTGATCTGTGTTTTCAGAGACCTAGATATATATTTCCATTTTAGTATTATCTCATAAAGCTTTTTTCATACCCCTAGTTTAAAAAGCAACAATATCTAGCAGGTAATGTTAAACAACAATAGAATGTTTTCTCCCCTCCACTGGAGTGACTTTGGGATAGTAAGCCATGCACCTACGGGCACATTTAGTGCTTTTCAGTAGTTGTACACCAAACAGTTCCCATGTGCACTGAGAGAGTTAATGTACCTTTCTGTGTCCTTTCATTACTACTCAGAACTGACTTAAGTATTAAGGAGAGCAAAACAGTAATTTACCAGGAATACCATGGCTTCTGTGTGAATAGTCTCAAGAAGATTAATGAAATTGGAATTCAAAGTACTCTGCTTCTTCCTATACAAAGCCTAAGGACATGCACAATTGTTTGGGCTTGAACTATGGAAAACTAAGATGCCAAAGTATAAATGTTTTATCTGATAGTATATGTGGACTTTTGCTTTAAAGATTATTTGTTAAAACTTTTGTGGATAGGTAGAGAGAAAGAACCATTAAGATTCTTTGCTATTGTCTGTTTTTCAGCACTGTTGCATATTCCTTTTGACTACTAATTTGGAGAACCTATAATCCGTTTAGAAGGATGCAATGTGACCAGTGTATATCATGCAGAATTCCTCAGGAATATAGTATGTATGCATTTATAAAAGTGTTTTAACACCAACCAGTACAAATGTGATAAGTATAGGTGTGTACTTTTTTCTGATAACTATTGAATTTATTTATACAAAGCAATACGTTGATTCCCTCATAAATAGCTTCATCAAACTGACAGTAAAGTGATCTTCAAGCATTTTGTACTGCTTTTTTCAAAGTGACTTAGTAATCTAAGGCAAGTTTAATAATCATAATGCCTAGAGAAAAAAAGCAAGAAAGACAAAATTCTTCTCCCACAAAATTCTTCTCCCATTTCTTAGGTGATAAATTTTTACTACTTTCTGGGATTTTGAGCAAGATTTTTAAAATGTTTTATTGAATTAGGTCTTTTTTTTTTTTTTTACCTGTTCAGGATAAAATTTAGGTTGACTATATCTTTCCTATCCCTAAATCTGATTAAATGATTCCTGAATTAAAGTCTTACCTGGATTTGACTACTTATTCTTATTAATATTTACAAAGACATGTAATTTTAAAATTATATATACTAATCTAAGTCCTATAATCAATATCTTATCCAGAATTGCTTAAATCTATTGGCAAACATTTGACATGGCTACTTAAAGCACTGAAATCATATGTGTTCCCGAATAAGCAAGAAATTTTGGCCTTTTTTTGGCCATTATCTGATCAATCTCATAGAAAGTTAATTCCATAGGCAGTCTCTAGCTATTACGATTACTGATGCTTCAATCAGAGTGCCAATTTTTTTCTTATTCAAGTATGACAAAAAATTTGTGTGTTTAAGTTCTTTATTAACTTTTAAAAATATCCTGGTGAAATGATAGTTTGGAAAAGATGACTCAAAATCCTTAAGATAAAATTTATATAGTTAGGACATGTACTATCATTATTATTCCAGTATTTGATTTTACTCTACCTCTGCTTCTCAAAATTCACTTTGATGTCTGTAGTGTTATAAATAGGACCAACACTGAAAGATACACTTCATTCCAGGGCAAAGTTGTGTTGAAAGAATATTTTTAACACAAATATTTTCTACTTCTTTTGAGTATCATAAAACATCCTAGAGAAGAAATTAAAAGCAATAAATCACACATAAATGCCAGAACAATCCCTTCTCAAGTTTAGTTCTTGACCATTATCTTAAAATACTTTCAGTTAAGATATTAGGATTTAAGGTTTGATAATTTTTTAAAAACCTGTTTTATAACTCTTACTAAGAAACTACAGTGTTAATAAAGTGGTAATACTAAATCCTGAATGAGATTTGGCATAAAAGTCATAACTAGACATAATGAAGAACTAGCATTCCGTGGGGCATGGTGGCACATACCTGTAATCCCAGCTACTCGGGAGGCTGAGGCAGAGGGATCTCAAGTTCAGGGCCACTTTGTGCAATTTAGCAAGACATTGTCTCAAAAAACAAAAAGAGCTGGAAATATAGCTCAGTGGTAGTGCCCCCCCCCGTTTACCCCTGGTTTGCCCCCAGTTACTGCAGAAAAGCAAACAGACAAAATAGAAAATAAAACAGAACAAAAATCCAGAATTCTTTCCTGTAAATTTTTCTGCCATATGCTTTCCATAGTATCTTCCTGTGACTTAGATTAAAAAAAAAAAAAACCAGGGAAATGTTTACATTCCCACTATGAGGAATCCTTCCATCCAAATACATGTCATGATGAGTACATTGTAAGACATGGAAATATTATTATTTATTAACATCATCTATCCTCAGAAATTAACTTAGAAGTGCCTTGGGGTATTATATTCCTCATGCCACTTTTTTCTGACTTTGTGACCAACCATTGGCCTTCTTCCTGTTATGCAGGCTTTCAAATGGCTTCCAAGAATGAACTTTATCTCAGTTGTAATGAAGTAATCTAATGTCTTCTGATAAAACAAGTAGTCCAGAAGTAGGTACTTTGGAGCTGGCAAAGCCACTTACACAAGTCATCAAGGACCCAAATTCTTTATGGCATCTTCCTGTTCAACTTTAATGTGCAGCTTTTGTTCCAGTCACAAAATTATTGCTCCGGTTTCACTAATCCCATCCACTTCCCAGGTAAGAAGAGGAAAAGTAACGAAGGCAAAGGGCAAAAGACTTCTTGCTAGACTTTGTGTTTATCAGTAAAGCAAAGCCCGCCTCAGGGACTTTCATTTTTCTCTTGTTGGCTTTCACTGTCATCTGATGATACTCCAACTGTGAGGAAATCTGTTATGATGAATTTAAAAAAATGTTTTTCAGTTCTTTTGAATAGTCAAGACATTCTCAAACTTGAATATCAAAATATAAAAGAATACACATTGAAAATCTTACTTTTACCTCACATTTTTCATTCTTCTATTTTTATACCACTTCCCCTTCATAAATAGCTATTGATATTAGTCTTTGTAATGTTTATAGAGATTTTTAAAATGTGTGTTAAAGGTAACTTAATATATACTCTTTTCTCTTGTCATCGTCAACTCCCCCAGGTGGTACCGGGGATTCAGGGTTGAACCCAGGGCCTTTGCTCTGCGTCTTATCTCCAGCCCTTTTTTTAAGTTGCTGAGTTGCCCAGACTGGACTTGAACTGGTGATCCTCCTGCTTCAGCTTCTCAGAATGCTGGAATTGCAAGTGTGCATTGCCATGCTTGCTTTCATTTTCTTCTCCTTTTCCTCTTTTTCCTCCTTCTTCTCCATCTCCCTCTTCTTCATCTTCTAAACCTAAATGGTATACATGATACGTATCTTTAACTGGTCACATAGTTGCCCAAACTAAACAGAACAAACTAAGAATCATTTAATGAGAAAGAAGAATGCATATTGGGAAGACAACAGAAGCATCTTCCAAGGATTATTTCTTTTATATTTCGGTCTGAATTGAGTCCAGTAGTCTGTGAAACTACTGATTCTATTGAGTAACTGACAAAAGCTTAAGCGTTCTTCACCAGAGATGTTTGTGATTTCTGTGTAGCCCAGTGCCTTGTAAAGAGAAGCTAATCAATAAGTGTGCAGAACGGAGCTCATGATGTCTCTTCCCCCCAGTTATCTTCAGCTTCAGTTCAGTATCTTCAGCTCAGTTAATGAAACCACTATTTGGTAAGTTATTGAGACAGAAACTAAGTGGCCAACCTTAATTCCAATCTCTTCAGCCTTCAGAGGCATGTTCTTCTCTTGTACATCACATCTATTTAATCACCACCCCTATTGATTCTACTTTCAAAAGACAGTTCTGGGAGACTGAGGCAGGAGGATTGCAAGTTTAAACTCAGCCTAAGCAATTTAGACAGCCTGTCTCAAAGTAAAAAATAAAGGACAAGGGGTAGCTCAGTGTGAAAGCCCTGGGTTCAATCTCTAATACTAAGAAAAAAAAAATTGCAGCTACCTTGCCTTCCTTGCCACTACCTCTGTCTAGGAGTGCCTGGCTATTGTGTACTCTTGCCTGTATTCTGCAGCAGCTCTTTTACTCATCTCGCTGCTTCCCTTGTTACCCCCTATATTCCATATAATATACAAAGTGACCTTGAAAAATCAGTTTTCTTCATAAAACTCTCCAAAGGGTTCCAACTGTAATTACATTGAAGTCTAAAGGCCATACCAAGGCTGGAGAGCCCGTTGTTCATCAGATATTTATGTACTTCCATTTTTTTTTCTTTAATATTACTAGTATTGAACCCATAGCCATTTACACTGAGTCTCATCCCCAGCCCTTTTAAAATTCATTTTGAGACAGGATCTCTCTAAATGAGTTTCCTGGGCAGGGCTAGAAGTTAGGATCTTCCTATCTTGGCTTCCCAGAGTGGGAGTGTAGACATGCACCACCACATCTGAAAGTCTGCCTTTTCTTTGTCACCAGATATTCTTCTCAGTGCAATGGTGATGAGGGATAACAATAAACAAAGATGTAAAATATACAGTCACAAATTTAAATGCCATAGGAAAGGGGTGAGGGTTATTTAGATGTTGATTGTGCTCCATTTCTGTTTGATATTTTCACAGAAATGGTACATAACCAGTCACTTAAAAATCAGGGGCTCATAACACTAGAATGTGTTTATATGGATCTCCTAGGGTTCTTATGATCCAAACTAGACTTGGCTCCAGGTTATGGCTTATATTCAGATATAGTTCATGGGTCTCCTGTTTTTCTTATACCAGTGGAATACTGAATCATGCTGTTTTTCATGGCAAAAAGATAGAATACAAGAGACAAGGCCTAGAAGTTCAAACCGTCTTTAAGGCCCTGCTAGAATCATGTCTACTAACTTCCCAGTGACCAAATTACATTGTGTGGTCAAGCCAAAGGTCTAGGGGCTGGGAAGTAAATTCTGACCACTCTGAAGCTAGAAGGATAGGCATTTTTGTTTTTGTTTGAGCTGACGCTGGTCTTAATTTGTGATCCTCTTGCCTCAGCCTCCCAAATACTAGAATTATAGAAGTATGCTATAACCCTGCTCAAAATTGTGGGTGTGTATTACTACTACTGAGGAATGAAAATTTGAGATTAATAATGTAATCCAATATAAGGTTAGGGAAATTCTTGCTGTCATTTGAGTAAAGTGGAAATGAAGGAAGCAATCATGGATATCTGGGGAAAGAGTGCTCCAGTCAGAGAGAACAGCAGACACAAAGATTCTACATTGGCAATATGCCTGGCCCTTTAGAAAAATAGCAAGAAAGAGGCCTATGTAAGTAGAGCATCAGAGTAATGAAGGAATGACGGACACTGCAGAAAATGAAGGGAAGATGTACTTCTAGAATGTTGCAAACACTTGGACTTGTCTCATTATGAGATGATAAACCTCATAAAGGATTTTGAGCAGAAACATGATCTCACCAGAGCAGAGCCTGTTACATGGAAATTTCCAGTATATATTTGTTCAATGAGTGCTGCTAATAATAGTTATTCTGACTTCAATAGTGCTTCCCAAAATAATCAAAGAAAAATGTTTAAAGTGTGAGTATAGTAAGATGACTAAAGCTTTAGAAGTGATAGTTTATTAACAATAGAATAGAAATGAATCA